AATTGACTAGTGAAGTCAATTTGCGAAGGCTAAGGCTATTTTTTTGAGATATGTCACGAGGCAAGGCTGAATGTTGTTTGGAGAAGCCGAAGTTCAAGCAATTAAAGACATTCTTGCTTCTAAAACCAATGGAGATATACTGTAGTTCCTTGGAGCATATGGATTTTACAGGAGACTTGCTCTAGACTTCAACATAGTAGCCACTCCATTCAAATTTGTTGAAGGAAGTCAAATATGACTAGACAAAATCTTGTCATGCTGCTTGGGAGGCTGGAGGCTCTTCATAAGTCAGTCAGTGATGGCTGCACCAAACGTCAGCAAACTGGTCAAGATAGCAAAAGATTGTCATGATTTAGTTATGGAAGCTAGATAACTTCATTCTTGACTCCACGTTAAAAAGAAGGACGTGTAAAGCTATTTCTCGGCTGTTCAATTTTAAAATCGTGCCAATGTCTGTTGACTGAAGGATTTCTAACAGGGAGTTATATTAATAGTAATACTGGTGTGCGTGGACAGACAGCAAGTTGTAGATGCTGCACTCCAGAGTTAAAAGAATATTAGAAGATGCCCATACATAAATTGGAAAGGTTTGAAGGGATATGGCCAAACACAAGCAAAAGGGACTAGTTTAGTTTGGGAAACTTGGTCGGCATGGGCCAGATGGACTGAAGGGTCTGTTTCCATGCTGTATGACTCTATAAAGAACAAGAAGCCTGTAATGGTTGGATAGTTGGAAGACTTTGGAAGAATAATCTTGTCAAAAGTAAATGGAAAGTCCCAGAAATCCCTTATACAGTAATCTATAAAGCAGCATTCAAATTAAGTAATTAAATTTCTAATTTTTTGATAACTATCATGCAAACTTATTTTGGGTACAAGTCTAATTTGTATAGAAGAAAATTTAATTTAATGAGTTGGGTTTAGATTAGAAGAAACAAGATAATGTATTCAATATCTATAAGTAACTTTTTTTTGTGTTCATGTTCTTTAATTCCCATGAATCTTGTTGCTTTATACTTTTTGCAAATGTATGGATTTTCGGATTTCAAAAAAAAAGTGTACAAATACGAATGCCTCCACCTATCGCATAAGAGTATAATTAAACAAAACTAAAAACATTCCCACTTGGCTCCAGTTATTAACACCCTTGCTCAGTTTAGATTACATTTATTCCCAAAATAATCTGCTATATTGTACTTAGCATCATTTAAAATTTATCCCAAATTCAAACAGCAGTACCACTGTACACACAGGTTTTGTCATTGTTCACTTTTACTTGGGAATCACACACTGCATCCAACCAGTTCCTTATAAAGAAAAGACGAATATTTCTTCTTGAATCAGCAACTCAAATAAACCCACCAATTTCATTTTCAGTAATAAGTAATTTCCAGAAATATGTGGAGTTTTTAAAGACAGTCCTAATTTTGCTGTTCCCAAAGTTGGGAATGCAGTGCCAGAAATATTCCCAATTGTGAAAACTTCACTTGGAAGACAGCAGGAGACATTCTTGATGCCCCTCAGAAACAATGCAAAAGCAGTCGGAAGGGTGGCAGCATGCTGAAGTAGGCTGGTTTCAGTGCTCTAGGACTTAAGAATAAATCAAAACCAACTCTCTAGCCCTCACTTGGAGATAGCAAGAACTGCAGATGCTGGAGGCAGAGACAACACAGTGTGGAGCTAGAGGAACACAACAGGCCAGGCAGCATCAGAGGAGCAGGAAAGTTGACATTTCAGATCGGCACCCTTCTGAAGAAACGTCAACTTTCCTGCTCCTCTGATGCTGCCTGGCCTGCTGTGTTCCTCCAGCTCCACATTGTGTTGTCTCGAGCCCGCATGCTCCATTTTTCAAGCATATTCATGTCCACATCTGACAATACCAAAGGGCACTTGAACTCTTCACAGGACGCTTGATCTCTTCCAAAGGTGTCCCTCCAACTCACCGAAACGTTATCCTAACTCTTTAAAAGAACTCCCTTAAGTTTAGCCGCTCTCGAAAAATGTGTAAAATTACGGTATTTTGGCCACCCCACTAAAACAAAATTACATCTCTTTGAATGTAGCTGCACTTTTACATGTGCAGTTGCCGCTGTAAGTCACCTATGCGCAAACTACAAATCACCACCACATTCCACCTTGGCAAAAATATTGGTTACCAGGTTCAGGGACAACACTTCTGGAATTAGGGCTCTGACACTGTTTTGGCTAGGGGAAAGACCATCTCCATCCCTGAAAACAATTCAGGGCTGAAATGCAAGTAATTAGTTTGGATGTAGCTCTCAAATCTTTCCCTTTTGAACAATGTCTCAGGAGATAACAAATGGGTTGAATGAGTCAAGACCATGCCTCTAAATGTCAAAACTTTTATTTCAAATGGTCACATTCTGTGTTATTAGACAGTGACAGATAAAAAACAAAATCAATCTGTACAACAAGCTTAAATTACGAGTACAATGCATATTGTACTATTAAATCATGCAGATCCCTGATCTGTTCTCAGTTAGTACATTTCACATCACTGATTTCAGATTTGGGAATGACTCCAACAGATAGTGAAGGATAGGCAGACTCAATGACATATCCCTTCCTGCACACACCTCCCCTCCCACCTAAATACCAATATTTGTGGAACCATACCGTAATGAATTTGAAGGTTTTTTCTTGAAGGAACAAGAGTATAGTAAGGACAAAGCCTCAAAAGTTACTAAGTTGGGAAGCAGGTAGAACACAAAATAGAAGTCTGCACTTAAAGCTATGACACAACAAAGTGCCTTTGGATATATAAAGTACAGAAGTATAAGTATAACATTGAAGTTTGGAGTCAGACTCAACAACACAGTAAAAATAATCTGAGACCCTAATTCCAGCAGGCTGCCTCACAACCAAGATTAGGCATCAACTTGAATATATAACTTCACGCATAACTGCAGTATCTGCTGTGCAGTCTTTTTCTTTTCTTCACCAGTTAACATTTTGGCAGTCCAGATTACAAGACTAATGTAAGCAATACCATAGATGAACTACAAATCAATACATAGGTATATATCACTAATATTTGCATTTCATAAAAATAGCTCTGAAATATTATAGGGTTAGAATGGAGTACTGCTGCTTTAAATAATTACTAAATATACTAATAAATGATTCTCATTTATAAAATGCTGTTTGAAGAACGTAATACTTTTATTGTAAGGTAGAATTTGTTATATGCTTTACAAATAAAATGTGTGCAATATGATTTTATTGCATGATAGAACTTTGTAAAAAAGAAACACAAGGGCCATACACTAATAACCATACATCTGTTGAAGGAACAACTTCCATAAAGTTACTACAGAATTTAATTGTGGAGAAACAAACCTGCTTCAAAAGTTCAGAAAAAGATTTAGATCTTTATCTTTTCATACCATTAAATTTAAATCAGAAACATTCAGATGATCCTTCAAGGCAGAATCTGAGAAAAGACAATTTTCAAACAATTTCAAGGAAAATAAAATAAAAAAAAAAGTTAGATGTGGCTTGCCCCAAACTACTAAGACTCCTAAAATAAAATGATGGAATCAAAGACTGATTGCACAATCGGTGCATACAACTAGAAACATTTGTTAAGTCATAGACAAAATATTTAACGAAGCTCTGTTAAGAAATTCCATTTTGCCAAAAAGATTAGAAGGGATGAGGACACTGGAACATCTGTTTCTCTAAATTATCAGGGTAAGAGTGTTTGTCCAAATGTACAAGTATAGGACATGTTGTAGCATAGCATTTTACTTCATGAAGCATGTTTGTTTAGGACTGTGGTTGCAACGTACAGAGTATATAAACAAATCACAGCGAGAAACAAATTCCACAGGAGTTATTAGAAATTCTAGATGAAAACTCTGAAACATGCTGCAGTATTTTGGTGGGGTCCCTTTGTTTATACATCAAGATCCCATTGCTATTCTGCACTGTCACATGAACATGTGTAGCTTAGTCCAGCAAAATAATTTTTTAAAAAGAATTTAATATATTTTGTAGTGTCCGAGTTTATGCAAATTGAACACAATTAAACAGAAAACATGAAATCAAACCTTTGTATAAGACATTACATTAAATGAAAATTTTAAGGATTGTACTTCAATTCCAAATTGAAAGCGTTTCGGTCTTGTGTACATTTGCAATATCATAGCTAAACAAAAAAAGCAAATTTAAAAGATTCTGCAACACATTGTACTGCTAAATGAAAATCAAATTTATAGAATCATGGAATCCCTACAGTGTAGAAGCAGGCCATTTGACCCATCAAGTTCACAATGACTCTCCGAAGAGCATCTGACCCAGACCCACCCCCTACCCTATCCATGTAACCCTGTACTTCCCATGGCTGATCCACCTAGCCTGCACATCCCTGGGCACTATGGGCAATTTAGCACGGCCAATCCATCTAACTTGCATCTCTTTGGACTGAGAGGAAACCCATGCAGACACGAGGGGAATGTGCACATTCCACACAGACAATCACCCGAAGCAGGACTCGAACTCGGGTACTGTGTAGTAGCAGTGCTAACCACTAAGCTACCATATTGCTAAGTACTATACACAGTCATGCTGAAAATAAAAACATACAACATTAGTGAATTTCTACAATCACCAAGGGGAGGAAAATTCTATACTGTGTCATTAGTCATTTTCCGGTCATGTGCAGTGTACGTATATTGCCAGAATATCAGTTTCAACATGCCTCAACATTATATCCCCACCTCCCAATAACGACCATCCCAATGGTGTCTCTGAGCAACAATCCCATTTTAGCACGATGCTGCATTGTGTCCAAGCTATGCTGTGAATTTAATACATAAAGAACTAGGTCGAATCTGCTTAAACTCATTTCACTCCAGATCTCTGCTACCCACTGCTGTGAAAAAAGTAGCAGGATGGCAATTACCAGAAAGCTTTCAATCCATTCAGATACATTTATCCCATTCAAACAGAAAATGCTGTTACGGAAAACACTAAAATCAAACTCCAATAAAAAGTTATTTATTGGTCTCTTTCAGAAACATCACAAAATAAAGCTAAAAACCAAAATGCTCCAAAATTAAAACATTAGATGAAATCATCTTTTGCAACACTTTACAAATTTATTAAAAGTCCAGTAGTACAAATAATCCAGGCTGCAGATTGTCAAAAAAAACAAACTCAACTGAAATCCAGGTTTAAAAGACATGTCCCTAACATATCTCTGAAAAAAAAAATCACAGAAACATTTATTGGCAATCGATCACTTGTCCATAAAGCACATTTATTCACTTCTATCTTCATCTGAACTAGGGGCTGAATCACAGTTTGAGTGCTGCTCTTTTTCGTGGTTCCGATTTTTTGTTCTGCTGTTTGACTTCTTAATTTTGTCACCATGTTCACATAATCTGTTTCTAGATGCAGACCCTTCTTCAGATATCTTGCTTTTACTACTCCCCCTTTTTCTCTTCATACTTGGACTACTACTTTTTTCCTTTTTATTCCTATCCTCATCCTCTTTCAGACTCTCAGAGCTGCTGCTATGATCCTTTCCCTGGCTTTTTGGTTTTTCATCCTCCTTGTGTATTATTTTCCCATTTGAATTTTGATTTTCAGAAGTCTTTAAGTCTTTCTCCTTGTTTTGATTATCTCCTGAATTTTTAGTCTTTTGTTCCTTCTTTGAATGATCATACCTATCTTTTTCAGGGGTTCTTCTGTCTTTGCTGTTTGAACGTCCCCTCTTTTTCTGTTCTCTATCTCTGTTCTTGTTTGCTTCTTTGCTCTGACTTCTATCCCTTTCCTTACTTTTGGATTTTGCTCTTTTTTCTTGATCTTTACTCTTGCCCTGCTCATCGTTACTGCTGGATTTAATCCAGTTTTCCTTGTGCTTTTGTTCCCTGCCTCTGCTTCTTGAGTTTGCATGCTTTTCTCTTTCTTTACTTTTGTCTTTTACTCTATCTTTACTCCTTGATTTGTCTCGGTGTTCTCTTTCCTTACTTCTACTTTTATGCCGATCTTTGCTTCTAGATTTGGCCCTTTTCCCTCTATACTTGTCTTTACTCTGTTCTCTATCTCGACTTCTGGATCTTGATTTGGCCCTTTTATCCCGCTCCCTGCTTTTACTTCTTTCTCTACTTTTAGATTTTGATTTGGCCCGTTTTGCTCTCTCTCTGCTCTTACTATGTTTACGATCTCTACTTCTGGATTTCGATCTGGCTCGTTTTCTCCTCTCTCTATTTTTACTCCGTTCTCGATCTCTGCTTCTTGATTTGGCTTCTTTACCCCTCCCTTTGCTGTTACTTTGTTCTCGATCCCTACTCCTCGATTTGGTCTCTTCTCCCCTCCCTTTGCTGTTATTCTGCTCCCGATCCCTACTTCTGGACTGTGACTTGGCTCGTTTCTCCCACACTTTGTTGTTACTCTCTCCTGGATCACGTGTGCTGAGTTTTGACTTGGCTTGTTTCTCCCAATCTTTTCCGTTATTTTGCTCCCGTTCCTTACTTCTGGATTTTGACTTGACTTGTTTCTCTAACACTTTACCATTATTCTGTTCTCGGTCCCTACTTCTGGATTTGGACTTGGCTCGTTTCTCCAACTCTTTGCCATTGTTCTGTTCTCCTTCCTTACTTTCAGACTTGGGCCATTTCCTCTTCTCTTTACTGCTACTCTTTTCTCGATCATGAGTTCTAGATTTTGACTTTGCACATTTTCCTCTCTCTTTACTTCTACTCTGTTCTCTGCTTTGAGATTTTTCATGTTTTCCCTGTTCTTTATTTGATTTAGCAGGTTTATCCCGCTCTTTGCCCTTTGCATGCTCCCTATCTTTGCTTCTTGAATTTGCTCTCTTTTCTTTGTTTGGTTTGTGCTCTCTGTCCCTGCTTCTGGTTTTGTCATGTTTTTCCTTATCTTTGCTTCTGCTTTGATTTCTTTCTTTACTCCTGGATTTATTTCTCTTTTTAGGCTTGCTTTTTTCAGATTTATCATCTCTGTTCATTTTCTTCTGTTCCCTTTCTTTACTTTTAGACCGATGACTCCTCCCAGTCTCTCGTTCAGATTTTTTATCCCTTTCTCTGCTCCTTTTCGGACTATCCAATATGTCCGGTTTGTAGTCTGAAGATATTCGCTCTCTCCCTCTGTCTGGGCTTCTATTGTTGTGGTTTTCTTTCTTTTCATTCACTTCACCCCTTTAAACAGCAGTTGGGGAAGAAAGAAAGGAATTAGCAACCACAAAAACTTACAGAATTAAAGCAAAATACCACAGAACTCTGAAATGAAAATAGAAAATGGTGGAAATACTCAGGTAAGGCAGCATCTGGGCAGAGAAAAACAAGTTAATCTTTCATCAGAACAGTTCTATCAAAAAGTCACTAACCTGGCCCATTAAGTATTTCACTCCGAACAGATGCTGCCAGATCTGAATATTTCCAGCATTTTCTGTTTTAATTTAAATATACATGAATTTGGAGTTGATACATTTACTGTATATGGAAGAGCTTTTACTTCATTTTACCACCTGAATTGGCAATTAAAAAAAACACAAGTATGTGTAATAACAGCATGAGTGAACCTCATCCAGGAACAAAATAATGGCTTTGGTAGCACGTTACAGCTAGCCTGAATGGATGCTATTACATAGACCTACAAAATGTATTTTCAAAAGGAACAAAGAGCAGTTAAATTTTCTATCACTTATGGCTAGATACTATCAACTGTTCAGATTGTTTCACTGAAATTGAAGATTTAGCAAATGCAAGCAATTCCTGAGATTTCAGGAGATAGAAAATAAATTGAAGACACAACGTGGACCAAGTTACAGCAAGGTCAGAAATCACACAACACCAGTCAACACCAACATCTGAGGGAGGAGTAAGACTCTGAAAGCTTGTGTTCTCAAATAAACTTTTAGACTATAACCTGGTGTTGCGTGATTTCTGACCTCGCCCACCCCAATTCAACACCGGCACCTCCACAACAAGTTGCAGCAAGCTTACAACAAACTCAGTAGTACCATTTATATGAAAAAAAATTATCAAAGTAAATTAATGCATGTCAAGAGGGGATAAAACAGACATAACAATATTGTCATACGACAAAATAAAGTTAATTATTTCTTCTTACAAGTTGAACAATATAATCCTATACTCATCATTAAGCACAGCAATTTATTTAGTAACCTCATTTAGATAATTTCAAATAAAACTGTATAAAAATTTAGTTAAGTGAAAATCCATCAATACATCCAAGAAGGCTAAATCTAAATTTGCTTTCAACCTCATGCTTCAAATCCAGTTTAAAACATTGTAAAGATTTGCAGCAGATCTGTATTTACTGGAATAATATAAGAATAAACAACTTTAAAATGCCTTTAATAGTCCTTTTAAGTTCTTCCTAATCAACATAAAGCTACACCTGATTATCAGCAGTAAATTTCATTACTCAAAAAAAAACCTGGTAAATTAAAGACAACACAACTTAAGGGGAAATATTTTGCCCGCCTGATCTCCTGTTTTACTTTGTGAAGGACTGACAATTCAATTGGCTGTGGAAATCCTGCACAACTTTGTATCTCACCTTCCAAACCTAACCGGGTTTATTCTCCCTGGCAACACCTCCAGTAATCACTGTCAACTTGCCAACCATCAGCACTGTTTGTTCTCTGACAGTATAAAATGTCATTACCTTCATTTTTATATTTTTGTGAATGCCCTGATGATTGCAAGACATAAAGCTTCAACAAAATGTGACTTTTCTCAGCAATACTAAAATTGTGTACTATCAAATGACTCAATATTTTAAGTGTTAAGAAAGGTGTGTGGAATTGTGGGGTTGTTCAAAATAAATTAAGACAGACTGAATTGATTCCATTATCTATAATGATCTTGTGCAACATTAAATATTTCATAGGATAGTGAAGAATATACAGGTTAGCTATCCTTTATCCGCATATGCAAAAACCGAAAAGACCTAAAAACTGAAGGTCTTTTCAAATGGACCTACAAGTGAAGTCTTTTCACCATCGATCCAAACTTAGCATGCCTACAGCTCTGTTTGAGCCTGTTCGAAAAAACTTCACTTTTAGGTCCATTCGGGCCAAGTGTAGTTTTCTTTCAAACAGACCTAAATAGTAAGTGTAGCAACAAGGGAGACAAAGAATAATAAGTGCAGAGATAATGAAAAAATAAGTTTACAGATACCATCAGGTTTTTGATAAAGATTTCCCAGACTCGGGTACAAGTTTAAGAGTTAAATTAAGATTTTGCTTTTGGTTGTGAGATGATTAGCAAAAGATCTTGGAGGGTAAGTTAAGTGCATCCAAAAACTGAAGATACCCTTTTTCAGAGAACCAGTTGAACCCAAGGCTTTTGGGCGATGGATCCTGGACGTATAATTTGTTTTGATTTAAAAGTATTCAAAATCAAAAGCAATCAAGAATAGAAGTTAACAAAAGACAGCGATATTCTGGGAAATTAAATTCCAAAAATGTTCACTGGGAATATTCCTACATGCTCTAATTGGTGCCTCCTGATGGATATTGCCACATTTAAAAACCTATTTTAGTGTTACTCTTTATCTAATCTGATGGATCAAATACTTATTTTTGAACTTTTACACTGAAATGTGTGGTGTACAGACAGGGCATCTTATTGAAGTTTTGATTCTAAAACAGTTACGGCGTATCCTGAAGATCAGGAGGAAGCAGAGTCCATTGCAGCAACACAGCAGTTGAAAGAAGGCTGGCTGAATACAACTGGCTGTTACAGACCATTTGCCAAGTACAATGTAAAGTTTTCAAAAACGAAAAAAGACCATGGATGAGTCTTTGATACCCTTCTACATACGAAGAACCAAGCCTTCCATTAGTCGTATTTGAAGGAACGCTGAATTCAAACTAAATTCAGGTGAAGAGGAAATCAAATTCCCTCCAAAAATGGCTTGACAAGGAAATTAATATCACATTGTAAAGTCATAATATACTGCTACTGCAAATGCACCCAAACCAGAAGTTCACCAAACATTCCAAAGGCATTCATCATCGAACTGTTAAGTGAACTGGCTGAACCAACTCTCAATAACAGCAAGCAGTTCAGGAAAAATATCACTGATCCGAAACTAAGGGAGGCTCGAATTAATTGCGGTGGCCCTGAGAAAGATCAAATTGCCATCTGGTAACAAGGAGTGGATTTTTGAAATTGTGGGAAGGACAGCAGCTCATTACAAGATGTCTGGGTTTGGTGGAAAACTGGCTTATTGCAATGTGTACATTATGGTATAATTGGTAGAAGGGCTGTTTACAATGTAGATATGATTCCATTACGCAAACGGAGTATGGAAGATGTGTTTAGATTAAATCAATTGGGACATCTTATTTAAGGATTCCAAGTTAAAACATTTAATTTGAACGCAGAGATAGTAGGAACTGCAGATGCTGGAGAATCCGAGACAACAAGGTGCAGAGCTGGATGAACACAGCAGGCCAAGCAGCATCACAGGAGCAGGAAGGCTGACATTTCGGGACCTAGACCCTTTCTGATGAAGGGTCTAGGCCCGAAACGTCAGGCTTCCTGCTCCTATGATGCTGCTGGGCCTGCTGTGTTCATCCAGCTCTGCACCTAATTTGAATGCATACAGTTTTGTTTTTACATTTGTGGTCTCTTATCCTACTAAAGAAGAAAACCCGACATTATTGATAAAGAAGTTGCTGAGAATGAATAAGCAGCTCCTGAAAAATCAAAATGTAATCATTGAGAAGGTTTCAAAGAGCCCTGCCCCAAAAAATGTTGACACCTAGTAGAGAAAGACTTTTCTGAAAAATAATTTTAATAATTGGGTTGAATAAGAGAGTTTGGGAGGAAGCCAAGAGTGTCATTCATTCATTCGATCTAATTATTTTAAAAAAGGCTAAAACAACATTTCTGCATCAGTTACTCCTGCTGATAAAAACTGATATTTTGATAAAGAAGAATGAAGCAACAGCAGAGCTTATTAACTTTAATATTAGCTGCTCAGCAGAAATCTTACTAATAGACTCTTGAATGAGAACAGAGTACCATCTTCACCAAAATTCTCAGAATCACAAATTCACTTAAAGCAAATTAATTTGACAAGATGCCAAACATTTGAATAAATGTGAAATGTAATTTTTTGATATGCCGATAATACGTGACAGTAAGAGTACAGCCTCAAAGTTCTTTAATTTGCATTCACAATAGATTATAGTTTCCATAAGTAGAACCACATTTCCTATAATGTAAAACAATCCTCCATGTATCATGACAATGTACTTACGTCAGATCCAAGTGGGCTGCTCTTCATCGATGCCTATCAAAGAATGGGAGAAACACCACAAAACCAGACAGTGGTGTTCAGCTAAAGCTATTAAAACAAACTTATTTGTAAGGAAAATAATTGCACAGAAGCAAAGGAAGACTATACGTGACCAACAGATCAATAAGTGAATGGTGTAGAACAAATAAATAAAGCTAGAATCTCATCCATTCACAAAAGAATTCTATAAAGAGACCTGATTAATGTAGATAACCTCTTAATGCACCTCCCAGCATGGTAATTTGGGATGGGAGGCAGGCAGAGACAAAAATGGGAAATAGGGATCTCCAGCCTTTGCATTATTAAAACAGCTAGCAATGTACCAGAATAAAAAAAAGGTTTTGATCATTTAGGAAAGCAAATGCATTATAAATCAATTCCACCATGCAAGCAGATGACAGTTCGAAAGCATAACTCAAGGTATTTGATAGAGTTCATTTGTTTTTGAAACCTGCCTTACATATCAAAGTTTTCCCTCCCAAACAGCCAACTGGATTCTGTTAATTTCCATGCAACAACAACGGAAAAACATAAAAAGGAATTTTTGATGCAATTAACACGAAAATAGATGCAGGGAATTCCCTCTGGAAAACTATCTATACTATCTAATTCCCAGAGAATTATAGGTATCCTTATATTTGAGCATTATCTCCTTTTGCCACCAAGTTAATGGAACACATACATCTACTTGGTCACCTTCTTAAACTCACAAAACTTTGGCATATCATTACATAAAAAGATACAAATGAATTTTGCAGCTAATAAGTACTCAGCAAACAACAAATACATGTAAAAATTTCAAGCGATATTGAGCCTATAACTTAAGAGATATTTAAAATACTCTAATCGGAGACAATAGAGAACACTTTGAGGAGCTTTGTAACACTTACTTGTCTCCTTTGATCCATCGTTCACCACTTGAAACCCTCATTCTTTGTGCTCGTTGCATCTCCTGCCTCCAGTGTGGGGGAGTTTCACTGCGCCTAAATCGATCTCTTGACCGAGACCTTGATCTTGAAGGTGTTCGATAGCGCTGTGCAAGATCATGTTTAGAATACCAAATATGAATTAAATGTGAATACCAATTAACTTGTGTTTATGTAACGTAATTCACAATCTCAATGCTCAAGTTACTCTACAACTAATGAATTAGTTTTCACACTAATGACACACTTCAGTGATGTAAGAAAACATTCCAGCAATTTGCACATCACAAGATCCCACATTTACCTGTTAAACTGGTCAATTTGTTTTAGTAATTATGGCAATTAAATGTTAACCAGGACACCAAGTGAACTCTCCTCTTTAAACATCACCATGGGAGCTTTTACATCCATTTCACCAAAGACTCAATTTAATGGTTGCTCCCAAGGAACTTCACTTCCTTTTGGGCTGTCAGTCCAGCTCTGAGGTATCAAACGGAACTTGATTAAGAGTTGAGAATTTATTCACTTAGACAATCCTGCCACTTATACTGAATTAAAATTCTAACTTCTTCCCATTAACAGCCTTAAGGGAAACAAACATTAGTTCTGTAAAACATTTACTTACCCGGGGTCCTCTTCCTTTAATTTTTCGGCCTGACCTAGTTACTAGGAGTCTTCTTTGATATGTAGACATTTGGGAATTTGATACATTGCTGTTCAAGATAAAGACCATTATTCTACAACAATATTTACTCACAAGTAAAAAAAAATGTTTGATTGAAGAAGAGTCGCTTTTAACATTTCTGTTGTTGTAATGCTAGAGGAATTGTCGAGATAGGGACCATTGATGCAGTGGAGTTAATTAAACACAAAAATTAGAATTATAAATTTGAGGGACTGGAAGCTAATATAGGTCAGCAAGGGTAATGATAAAGGGTAAGAAGAACTTTGTGCCAAAGTAAATAAAGGTATGGATGAGCTCAAGTTCACAGAAGGTGAAGAATATATAGTCAGCCAGGAGAACAATGGAACTGTGAACTGTTTAAAATGTTAAGTAGATACAATGCATTAACATTGCAATTCAGTGATATTATCTACTTCTTGGGAAAACAAACACTTCGGTATTGATACAATATTGTCAATTTTTTCTCATAACCAAACGTTATCTTGGTCCTTTTTGCAAGATGGCTCCGTGGACCTCGATTGGAGAAGAACACAGATCTAAATAGCCAATGCTCCTCTCTTCAGTCACAATTGTTTCATTTTAGAGGTTCTTAATTAGAAAACGCTTTGAGGTTCTGCAGAACATAAAATTGCTCTCCAGATACAAGCCACACTGGGAACAATTTGATGGAGTGCTGATCAAATGGAAATTTCTGGGAAAACTCACCAGGTCTGGCAGCATCAGTTGACAGAAGGCGGAGTTAACATTTGGGTCCAGTGGCCATTCTCCAGCACAGTTCTGAAGAATGGTTACTGGACCCAAATGTTAACTCCGTCTTCTGTCCATAGATGCTGCCAGACCTGCTGAGTTTTCCCAGAAATTTCTGTTGGTATTTCTGATTTCCAGCATCTGCAGTTTTTTTGATTTATTTGTTGATCAAATGGTCTGCTTTGTAAGTTTCTGGAAGAACACTCATACAGATAAGTGAAGAATTTAACAATAGTCTCCCATCTTGTGCCTTGTAGATGATGGACAGAATCTGGGCAGGTGCGTAAATCCTCGCTTCTGATCTACTCTAGTCTAGCAGTAGCTTAGATACACAGCAAGTGGTTAGAACCTAGCATACACTCCCTGAGGGTGTGGCGGAGGCAGACACAATCACTTTTCAAACTGGAATAAGATACGCACTTGGAGAGAAAAAAAAATGCTGGATTACCGGGAAAGGAAAGAAGGGCAGGATGAGCTGAGCTGTTCTTGCAGAGGCCTGGCATCAATACAATGAGCCAAATAGCCTCCCTCTGTACTGTGAAAATTTTATTCAAGTATTGCTGAGAAAACACACATTGTGTCATAGCTTTTCATCTTGCACTCAGGACAAGTTGAAATAAATAACTATGTAACTAAAAGACAACATTTACACTGTCTAAGAGGAATGTGTTGATTAGTTGGCAAATAGACAAGTGCCAAGCTTTGTTTCTGTCATTCTTAGTTCTTTTCTCATCATAATGCCTTAAACAATCAGTCAACCTGCCTGGTTTAACATTTAAACAAAGCCTGCAGCTAACTGGTGCATTTTCAATGCCGCTATCCCTTGGCAACTATTCAGCACTCTCCTCTCATATGGTATAAATATTGGTTTTCCCCTTAATTTGGTATTCTTGCAAATTGTCCTGAGCACAAGATGAAAAACTCAAACAAAAAAATGTGTTTTCTTCAAACAAGGTCAAGTTCTGTACTGCCAAAATGATTATATTGAAAAGTGTTCCGGGGCAATATAAATGTACTAACCTCTCTTTCTTTTTCTCTTTCTCTTTCTCTTTTTCATCTGCTTTGTGAGGGCTCTTTCGCATTAAGAATCTGTTCTCTGGTACAGGGGGAATTTCCTCAGCACGAACAGTGGCAACTGTCTGCAATGTACTACTTTCTGCACTTTCATCTGATGAACTTGAAAACAAAGTTAAGAAAATGAAACACTAATTACTAAAGACAACAAATACATATTACTTAAATGTATAAATAGCTCATTTCCATGGTGGTACAAAGTTGGACTTCCAACAAGGAGGCACAGAAATAATAGATTAAAAATAGGGAAAGCAAGAAATATCTTAAGAAAAGGACAAGAGAGTGGGATATACAAATCAATGCTGAGGAAGGGAAATTCAGATCACCAAGATTAATGAGACAATGAGGCATGAAACAGATAGCAGCCATTGAGGATGAGAAAATATAGTCAAGTCAGTGGAGGCTGGAGCACATGCACATTCCAGATAGAAAATACAATTGTGTTTATGTG